CTGTGCTTCATAGCTTTCTACCATAAAATATAGAATATGCTTTGAATTTACTGCTGCTCTCAAGCATCCAAGTATTGGTGAGCATGAACAAGAACACACACAATTTTTTAGACCAAATCATGCCATGATTATCGCAAAGATGGAAGGTTGATGATAATTTTTTTTATTTTCAATTGATATACTGACTCAATATATCAAAAATACAAGACGAATACAATGTCCTAATGTTCATATTGAACTAAGATGACAAAGAGAAACTAAAGATATAATTCTATCTTACGACCAAACAATGGATCGATAACACAATAATTCCTTTCAAAACATTCTGATTTCCAAACCAACCAGACACATTTCACATATAAAATTGAATTCTCATATAATTCTATAAATCTGCTAAAGAAAAAGCTAGACTTGTTGATCAAGGAAAGCTACACTCATTGATCACTCAAACTCAAGGATGAGTAAGAGTAGCCTTGTCTAGAGAAATTAGGCAACAACCAACATAGATCTGTCCAAATTTGAGAATTTCAGAGACCATGAGACAAATATAAAGTGAAAAAGAACAGAATTACATTTATGAACTCAAAATGGGTTAAGTTAGAGACATATATCTGTAGACTTAGAACATGACAAGGCGTTACACATGAACTTAGATTGCAAGAGGTTATTCTCCCTTCAGTGATGACCCAAAATTAAAAACAAATGCCACATGCCAAACAGATAGAAATCATACCATCTTTCCAAAATATAACGACAAGGAAACAAACCAAAAGTATTCCTGGAAGTCATCATAATTCCCCCATGCTGCTGCTTTCGTGTTATTGTTGATGGCATGCGAAAAATAAAGCAAACCAGAAGTCATTGGCAAGACCAATATCAATATTGAAAGGGGATTTAGTGCTTTACTTTTTAAAGGTATAACGTTCTGCACATCATAAATTACCGCAATTCCATTTCCACACTAACCAAATCGTACAATCTTTATATTCTCCAATAACATACACACCATGATAGAGATGAGAGTCAATCCAATTCTAACATCACCAACGAAACCAAAGTGAGATACAATGATATACAAAACGAAATCTGAAATAGAGACCCACTAACCGCAGCCAATGTTCCATATATTGGAAAAAAGATTTGCTCAAGGAACGACACATGATTAGCTTCTCCACCAACTCTTTAGCCATTTGTAGAACCGTAAGATGATGTCGTCTCTCACGTGTAATAAATTTGAATAATAAATTAAAATGAAACAAGTTATGCTATTTTTATACGTTAAGCCTCCTTGCATCTAGGGTGGAATTTTTTGCCAAATTACCATACCAACCGTACCTTACCAAAGTTGTGCCAAAAAATTTGTACCATTGGTAATGGTACGGTATTTGTACCGTACCGTACCACTACTATTAATATTATATCATTTATTTATTCATTTATATATAATTAGGTATTATTATCATTATATATGCACTTTATATTTTTTTTCCTAGTCATTTATCCAATCATCTCACCCTCTAACCTTTACTTTCCCAATAAAAAATCATAAGCCTTCTTGCGTTGCGACTCTTCATCTTTTCACTCATCTAGCCACCAACTTCATTTGTGTTGATCCAATTCCGGCAACTCTCCCTCTCTCTGAAGTCCATCTCATCTTCTCCTTCATCAAATTGGAATGTCTTTCTCCCTGACTTCGTCTATCAAGTTAAATTTTGTACAATTTTAAAGAATGTAGAGATGGAATTTAGGAATCTTTGTACTTTTTTTTAGGGATATTGGATTCTTTCAGCAATTTTTCCATCTATTTACTTCTTGTTTCATAAATGAATTTCTATAAAATTCTCATAATTAAATAAAAAAGTTTTAGAAACCTAAAGCGAGTGGCCAAAACACGTTTGGGCCTTAAATTGGGTTGGGGAGAAAAATCAATTTTGGCCCAAAACAAAGTGGTAATTACCATTACCATACCATGCCAACCGAACTATTTGGCATGCCGAAATTCAGTATACCGAAAGTTTGGCACGGTTATAGTAATAGATTTTGTCATACCAAAAATTTGGTATGGTAATTGGTACATGGGTTTTGGTACGGTAATCGTACCAATACCACCCCTATTTGCACCATCAAACAGATACAAACAGTATACAAAAATGAAGAAATGGTATATTCTGCCGACTGTAATCTTGCACTTCAAATCTGAACAAATAAATTCGAAATGGCCAACACTAAATAATTCACTTGAACTTGCATACAGTTCATAGATAAGCTAAGAAGTTTAAAATTCAATTCTTTAAAGAAGTGGACAGATTCAAAAAATTTGAGAAGCAAGATGAAATTTATGTTCCAGATATGAAGTTGTATTACAGTATACCAAAATTAGCAGTTTGCACAATTCAATCTCCATAACAAAATCAAGAAACAACAGATCTTGTCTACATGAACAGAGAAGAGTAGTAATCAGCAAACCGCATAACGTTTTCAAGCTTACATGGTGAAATATGTAGAAAACACATTCAGGAAGAAAGCGGACATTTGCAGCTTTACCCATATCAGAAGGATTCGAAAATAACATATTATAGTCTTCGTAAGTCCGATATCTAAACGTCAATTGGAATTGAAAAGTATGTTATCAAATTGGTATTCAGTTTTCGATAAGTCGAAAATTAAATTAGTATCAACCAGCCCCTTCAGATTTCCGAATTTGGCTTTCAATTTCAGTTGGGCTTTTGTTTTCAGAAAAATGAAAACTCAAAACTAAATGATCAGACGGCCCATAACCGTATTGTTTTCAGTCATCCTTTTTGTTTGGAAATAATAATCTATCTAATGAAGACCTATATAATTAAATAATACTATTCAAATTTAAGTATAATTTTGGAACACTTTCATACAATTTAAAATGAATTTAATTGAAATTAGTATGGTTGTTATCAATTCATGAATAGTTCATCCAAAATCACTCACTATAATTATCAATTAAAACGCATCCCGCCTCCTAAGTACATTCAACAACAACAAAGTATATATCAACCAACCATAAAACACATTACGTGTTTTATAACCAAATTTTACTTTTATTTACCAAACTCTAAGCCTACATCACTCAATCTTACGTTAATTTTACCACTAAATTTGAATCAAACGTTGTGATTTTTTATGTACATGATTTCAAGAAGTCTTTCGAAGGCTTTGCCATGTAAATCTTTTCCATGTCTACAAATATTGCGATTTCTTGCTTTAAAAACTTGGTTAACTTAAATTCCTCATAAGCCTTTTTTCATATTCAATTCAAGAAGTTTCATATGAGGCGAATTTGAAGCATAGGCAAGAGTTGCATTAACATTTTTTTTTCTTTAACGTTAAGCGATGTGGACAAAGGTTTCAACAGGGTCACACAATATCCTTCATATTTTCATACAAAACCTTGTAAACGCTTAAAAGTACAAAAAAACAAACCTTTATGTGTGAACTTTTATGCGTTTACAAGTTTGTATGAGAAAATTTGAAATATGAAGGATATTGTGCTACCCTATTGGAAGAAGACTTTTGTCTTAATCGGTTAACATTGAAGGAAGAAAACGATGTTGATGCATCCCTAGCTTGTGAATCGACAAGTTCGTCTCATATAAAACTTCTTAAATTGAATATGTGAGAGAAAGATGACTTATAATGGATTCAAGTCAACAAAGTTCTCAAAGAAAGAAATCGCAATGTTCGCAGAAAACAAAAAATTACATGGCAAAGGCTTCAAGAGGCTTCTTGAAATCATTGACAGAAAAGATCACAACGTTTGAAGGGTTTGATTCAAGTTTAGTGGTAAAATCAAAGTAGGATCCAATGGTGTAGGTTGTAGGTTTAGAGTTTGATAAATAAAAGTAGGATTTGAATTTACACACTTATAATGGTCCATGGTTGGCTAATATATTTTTTTTGGTTGCTGCTTGTAACTAGCTTTGAAGGTGGTATCTATTTTCACTTAACAAATTGTGTGTTTAAATTAAGCACCCCACTTCTGCAGTATGATTCTGTAACTATTTTTTTTTTTTTTAATTTTGTTATTAGTTTAATTGTGTGACTAAATAGTACATACAAAAAAGTAAGATCACAAACAATAAAACATAATTCACGACAGAAGATAGTTGTTTATAGTTTTGTGATTTATGATTACTAACACAAGTATTTTTTGGACCATCCATGGCCAAAGATAGATAAGATACAAAGGGAAAGTGACAGAAATACTTTGGTTGTGCTGTCGTTCTCCCCCAAAACTCTCAGATATCGAAAGCCTATGTTTAATCAAAATTCAAACAAAACCAACTGCGATGAGCTGACAGAGCTACGCTTCCTCTGCCTTCCCCTCCCATTGATCTCAAGCACGTTCAGCATAAAACTCACAAAACTTTTGTCAAGCCTAGAAACCTACTAAAGTCAAAAGCTACACTTGTTGATCAAGGAAAGCTACACTCATTGATCACTCAAACTCGAGGATGGGTAAGAGTAGCCTTGTCTGGAGAAACTAGGTCACAACCAAAACAGCATAAAGATCTATCCAAATTTGAGAAATCCAATGACCAAGAGACAAATATACAGTGAAAAAGAACATAATAACCTTAATGAACTCAAAATGACTTAGGATAGAGACATATATCTGCAGACTTGGAACATTACAGGGAGTTACGCCTTAACGTACATATATTATAAGCTAAGATAAGATAACAAAGGACCATGATTGAGATGAGAGTAAATCCAAATCCAATTTCAACATACAGGCCAAAGTGAGAAACAATCAATATCCAAAATGAAATGTGAAATAGAGATCCACTAAAAACAACCAACGTTCCATTCATTGGAAAATTAATTTGCTCAAGGGACAACATACATCCAATGTCTGCTATGCAGCTAGAAGCAAGATTAGCTTCAGCATCTAATATTTCATCCAACTCTTAGCCATGTGTAGAGCCGTTAAGTACAAACAGTATACTAAAATGAAGAAATAAGTATGTTCTAAAACTTCATTAAAAATTTCCTGCCGACACTTTAATATTCAATTTGGCATAATTAACCACCATTTTTTGTATTGGAAACGGACTCAAAACTAACAATCGACACAACCGAAAGAGGACCGTAGGAACACCAACAACCATTACTTAAATGAAATATCCACAAAACTCAAAAGACCAGCAACAACTCGAGAATGCAGATGCTTGCCTGCTCGAGGGCAAGGTGTATGTAAATAATTCACTACATCTGTCGATTAAAAAACACACACCCTTGAAGCAGAACACCAGTACAAGCCAATCAAAGCATTGATCCAAATTAATAGGCACTGCACAGATGTGTTATTCCAAGGCGAGTGCATGCAAAGGACAGCCAAATCAAACACCCACCAACAAAATATATACATCCGCGACGACAACAAGGCTATCTAGCTTAATTATTCCAAGACATACGTGGGTCCACAACAACATATATATAACATAAAAAAGCGGGTGATCCTTTCTTGCTTGGTTCAAATTCATCTGCAATTTTCTTTTAGTGTTCGTAGTCGTCTGCAGTATCAACATTTTTCTCCCTCATTTCATCAGAAAACAGTAAATACAAATCATCGTGTGCATCACTTGCCCCCGATCCATCATTGTAAACAGCAGCATAACGTTACTCCGAGCACCACGTCTAATCTCAACTATTGGACACTTACAACTATAGTCTTCTTTGCTTTCTTTGTCATGGTTGAAATCAGGAACATAATAAAAAATGTGGCCGCTTGGAACTCCATCTTCTATGTAGCATATATATGTTGAAAATACAACCTTGCCATGGTCTTGGTTTAAAAAGTCAGTTCCACTATCAACAAGTGCTTCCATTGATGCATTACTTGTTGCTTTAGACTTTAAATTCTCAACTAAATTCCGGGTTGCTCCAAAATCACAGCACACCAAACCAACAATAGGTGGGTTTTCAAGAATTGTTTAAATTTTAAGGTTATCGCCTATTACTGAAGAAAAAAAAAATACACAATGCACATCTAATAGGCGATAACCTTAAAATTTAAATAATTCTCGAAAACGCACCTATTTTTGGTTTGATGTGCGGTGACTTTCGAGCAATGGAGAATTTAGTTGAGAATTTAAAATCTAAGGAAACAAATAATGCATCAATGGAAGCACTTGCTACAGTGGAACTGCCTTTGTAAACCAAAATCATGGCAAGGTTGCATTTTCAAAATATATATGCTACACAAAAGATGGAGTTTCAAGTAGCCACATTTTTTATTATGTCCCTGATTTCACCGATGACAAAGAATGGAAAGAAAACTATAGTTGTAAATGTCTAATATTTGGGATAAGACACGATGCTCGGGAGTTGCATTATGCTTACAATGACGGATCGGGTGCAAGTGATGCACCCGATCATTTGTACTTATCGTTTTCTGATGGAATCAGAGCGAAAAAATGTTGATACTACCGATGACTACAAGATTACGAACATTAAAAGAAAATTGAAGAAAATTCAAACCAAGCAAGAAGATGTGTAAGTTGATAATTTATTTGCCTTTGGATCTGCACCTTCAATATTTCCTTTCTCTCGGCTGTACACTGGATCAGTATGTCCTGCACAGAAAGAAAAAAAAAGATAAAAGAAACTGAGATATGAGCAAATACAGGATAAAGACAGCTATGTTTTGCAGATCAGTCCACATGCTTGTAATTATAAGTGTTGTATACCTTATGTTTGCTCGGATCTGTGATCTCCGAGAGGATATCCTTTCCTTTGTTCCGTGCAGACCACAATATGAATTTTTTTATTTTCCTACAAAACCAACCCTCCGCTTTGAGCTCGGTTTAAATCTGTGGGGTGTGTATTACGAAATCAACGGCCAACACATGCATTGTGAACCCGTGCAGATTGTGTGATTAAAGGAAATAAGGGTCAATTTTTGTTTACCTGGGGTGTAGACCGGAAGTTTGGGGGAAGCTTGATGACCTCTGCGCTCTCGGAGCTGGCAACTCAGGAGGGTTTCTCTTGTTTTCCTCCGATTTGCATGTTTGGGGAACCTCATACGGACAAAAACGCAGTTTTTCAGCTCGCTCCACCATGGATGGGTTAGAGACACACGGATGCAGAGCTTGGATTTAGTTGCTATGAAATGGACGGTTGTACAAATGGGCGCTGGGCTTGAGAGAGAGAGAGAGAGAGTGGCTGAAATGAAAATGGGCGGATGATATGCATGTGTTATGGGGGACTTGGATCCTCTCCTGAGCTATTGCCAACGGAGCCTAGGGATCCATTAATCATAGCCCTTCAAATCGATCCTACAGCCAAGAAACTTCCTTCAAAAATTTCGACATCTCTTCTCCCTAAATCCGTCAGTTCTCCGATGAACCCACCCCAATCCCTCTCTTCTCAGGCGAGCCCACCCCTAAACCCTCTTTTCATCGGGGAGCTCACCCGAATACCTTCCATCCCCAGCAACCCCAACTTCACCCATCTCTCCTCCGACGACCTCAACTACCCCAACCACTCTGTTCGCCGGCGAGTTCAACGTCAACCGTCTCTTTGACGGCGATGCCACCTAGTCCCCCAACTCCACCCATCTCTCCTCCGGCGACCTCAACTACCCCAACCCCTCTCTCTGTTCGACGACGACCTCACCTAGTCCTCGAAATAATTTAGTGGGCTAAGGAAGTTTCTTGGCCATACGATCAATTTTGAAGGGCTGTGATTAATGGATCCCTAGGCTTCGTTGGCTTCGTTGGCAATAGCTCAGGAGAGGATCCAAGTCCCTCGAAATAATTTAGTGGGCTAAGGAAGTTTCTTGGCCATAGGTTCAATTTTGAAGGGTTGTGATTAATGGATCCCTAGGCTCCGTTGGCAATAGCTCAGGAGAGGATCCAAGTTCTGTTATGGGAACCCTAAGGAGTTAATTGCACAAATGCATGCCACGTGTCTAAATCACATGCATTCCGTGTCTGAAGATGAAAGGACTATTTTGAAAATGAAGAGACAGAGAGTCGTTGGCTCTGGCTCGAGGCGAGTGCATAAAGAGCAATGTTGGATTAAGGCGGCTAGGGTTTCTGGTGCACGCGTGTGGCATGTGTGTGAGCTGACAAGTGGGCTGCCTTATGTCGGCCTGTTTGTTTCTCGCGGCCCAGATCAAAATTCTTCAAGGCTTTCTTTATAGGCTGCCATCAGTAATTACCCATCAATATTGGCCCATCATTCAGCCCGTGAGAAGCTCAGCTCGAGTTAATAAGTCCTTAGGGGTGTTCTACACCTAGTGCCCTAAAGCCCTAGTGGTTTGGGAGTCATTGACCTAAAGCTCACTACATGGGTTGGATTGAAAGCTTAAGGGAACCGACATTGCACGACCACTACTATTACTAAAAAAAAATATTATAAAAAAATATTCGAGAGAAAAAAAAATGATTATATAAGTGTGTAAAGGGATTAAATAAAAGGGATGAGAGGTAAGGATTTTGGTCGAGTTTCCTTAACTATGATCAAGGAAGAAAATATCGGTAATATCGGAAATATCGGTAGTCCGAAAACACGGAAATATCGATGGAAATATCGGGATAATATCGATATCGATAAAAATTACATGGAAACCACGGAAATTGTAAGAAAAACTTGGAAATTTTTATTGAAACTTTGCAGGATGTTTATTTAGTCAATTATCTATTAGTTTATCACAAAAAATTGGAAGGAAATGCATTGCATGATGGATTTAACTGATTTAAGTTGATTATATAGCGAGCTGGCAAACATTGTGAGTGTAGAAAATATGTAGTAATTAATGAAAGAAGTTTAAACACATCATAATCATTTATATATAATGAATTAGTACAATATTTTACACTCATTTAAGCAAGGGATTAAGCAATGTGAGCTGTTGAGCCGAACCAATAACAATTGGCCAGCCTGTTTCTAACGGGCAGCTGCCCGACCTGCCCGCCACTACCCACAAAAAACCCCAGCTATAAATACCAAGGTTCTAAAAAACGCTAAGCGCTAGTCGGGCGGTGGGATGGCGCCTAGCGCCTAGGTGGCTAGGTGGGATCTAGGCGGGCGCCTAGGCGGTCTAGGCGGATTTAGGTAAATTTCTTATATATTATATGAATTAATTAAATTTACTATATCAGATGTAAATAATTATTGAATAATATGTTATTTCTTATAAAAGAACATACATATGTGAATGTTTTATGTACATATCTAATATGCTTGCCTAAGAAAAAAAAAATCTAATAATTTATAATTTATATAACATTTATATACATATAATAATATAATATACCTCCCAAACTTTTAAAATATAAAAATCCCACGCCCATGCAAGTGGGTGGTTTTCATAATAACCCATCTGATGTAAATAGCTGTCCACCTTACACCCATCACCAACTTTTGACCTTTCAGAAACCCAAAATTGAATCTTTTACTCTCTCTCTCTCTCTTCCCTCATCTTCGTTCTTCTTCGCCCTTTCACTTTCAGAACCTCAAAATTGGATCTCAAATCCAACTTGCGCCCACTTTGTGCTTTCAGTCTCTCTGAGTCTTCAAGAACCCTAGATTCCCGAACGAGCAACTTTCCTTGCCCTTTTAGATTCCCGAACAGAGAGGTCCAAACCCTATCAACAATGGCAGTCTCAAAGGCATCCTCCGTCGTCGCTCTCATGGCGGTCCTCTTCGCCGTCCTCTCCGCCATCGGCGCCTCCCAGGAGTCTCCGGCTCCCATCCCAACCTCCCCCGCCGCATCCATCTCCCCCTCGTTCGTATCCACCCTCGTCGCCACCGCCGTCACCGCTCTGGCCTTCGGATCTGCGCTCAGGGTGGCGCCTCCGAGGAGTCTCCGGCTCCCATCCCAACCTCCATCGCCGCATCCATCTCCCCCTCGTTCGTATCCACCCTCGTCGCCACCGCCGTCACTGTTCTGGCCTTCGAATCTGCGCTCAGGGTGGTGCCTCCGAGGAGTCTCGGCTCCCATCCCAACCTCCCCCGCCGCATCAATCTCCCTCTCTGGCCTTCGGATCTGCGCTCAGGGTGGCGCCTCCGAGGAGTCTCCGTCTCCCAGCCCAATATATCGAGATAATATCGGTAATATCGATATTATCTCGATATATTGACGATAATCAAGTGGATAGGTGTAAAAATATCGGACTCTCACTAAAACGATAATATCGGCGAAATATCGCCGATATTATCGATATTTTAATCATTGACTATGATGGTTCACTTTACACCGAAAGAAGTTTGTGAATTCTTTTCTAATTGATTATAAATTGCTTAGACTCTGTGGTGGGATTGGTTGGAACTTTTGAAAGATGTTCTGATTTTTAACATTTTATATGGTTGCAACTTGAAAGTGAAAATTTTGTATTAGCTAAGTTTCATTTAAGTTTTTAGTTCATTAGCTTTTATTTGTTTGAGGACAAGCAAAAAGCTAAGTTTGGGGGTATTTTGATGAGTATATTTATATTATATATTTAACCCTATTCTTAGTATATTTTGGCTAATATTTTGGAAGAATTTTGATACTTTGAATTGTATTTCCAATATAGGACTTTGGACTTCCTCTAGAGAAAAACGTGATCAAATGGACGAATTTTGGAGTAATTCCAGTTGGAGGACGTTCGATATCAAATTTTTCTACCAAGCGATTATTTTCTGGCTATAGAATAAAGGAGCAATGCGCGGTGATGGGATAGTGACATTTTGGGCTTGAATTGCGTTTTTGGAGCCCAAGATGACCTCTGATGGGTTCATGGCCTTCTAAAGATGTGTTCAGAACGTCCCCATCTTCAAAACAAGCTATTATGGGCCGGATTTGGAGGATATTTGAGGCTAAAACGTGGCTGGACAGTTACTTGGCAGATTCTCCTAGTTTAATTAGGACTTTATTTTTTAAGATATTTTATTATTATTTAATTTCCTAGTTAGAATTAAAGACTTTGTTTTAGGGTTTGTGCGATGGTTGAGGATGGGATATAAGGCTTTGCAGGCCCTAGTTTAGTTTCACGTTTTCTTTTGTGCGACTTGGGAGACAGAAGAGTTGGCTAAGGTTCTTGAAGATTTTCAGATTACTTTAATGTGTTTTCAATCTTTTTTTTATTATAATAATATTTTCTATGACTTTACTTATAAATATGCGTAACTAATTCGTTTTACTAGGACAAAGCTTTAAGCCTTAGCATGAATATGTAATTTTTATTTAATTGCTTATGATTGATTGCATGCATATTTTGAATTATTAATCATTGTTTTAAACTATCTAATTGTCTTGATGATTGGCCACCATTAGGATCTTTAGAAAAGTCATTTGATGCAATTTTGGTCAGAATGTTCCCTGAAATTGACGCTGGCTTCATGTGATCATTGCAATTTCACTTAAGATGAATATCACGTCTTAAGGATTGCATGGTTTTTCAAAGGGTTTTCATAAAGCATAATGAGTTTCTCATGTTCATATTTGATTCGAACGTCCGGACGGATTGCATGTTAGATATGTGTTTTATGTTGGAGGTTCCCAAGTAAAATCTCTATTAATTAATAAAACACTCATTGTCAACCAAAACCCTATGAAATTACCAGTTTAACTCTCTAATTAAAACAGAACATGAAAAAGAAATATGGGGCAGAAATGTAATTTCACACAACCAAATTTTATTGTTTTTTTTTCAAAACCTCACCTACATGTACTTCTAACATATCTCTAATAAAATAAATAAATAATAAAAAAAACTTCCCACTTCCACATTCTCTATCACTCTCTTTGACACACCCCGACTCGGAATGTCCACTAGGACTCCGAATTGAGCTGTGCTGGCCGTCACCTAGAAGGTGACGAAGCCATAAAGTATAGTGATGTGAAAAATGTGAATAAATTTAAACCTAAAAGTACCTAAATACCATAGTGCGCTGTGAGCGGAAATGAACTCATTTCACATGCGACGTTAGAGCATAAGTAAAGTACAGTAGTATGGGTAAGGATCATACCCTCGGAGGTAGCCACCTCTACTGAGATTTGCCAAGAATCCTCGTCGATACGGACTTTCAGCAACTAAAACGTGGAGGGGTGCAAAAACAAGGGTGAGTGGGCCTGAAAATAAAGTTTTTAATAAAAACCTTTTGAAAACGTTATAACCCCTCACCGTAAAACCTGTATAATTTCCCAGAAAATAATAATACATACGTATATAGAAATCATGCTCGAGAGTAGTGAAAATCGAGTATATGCCATGTCAAGTATCTCAAGAAAAATTAGTAAGCCAGGTAAAATAAATCAATGTAAAATGATATGCTAGCCGAAGTGTGAAATCCCGTTCCCGGATTTCACTGTTATAATCTACGTATTTGTATTATTGAGATTTTATATTATTTCTCGAGAATTTATTATAAATTGTTTGGATTTAGATTTTAATTAAACTAGTTATGAAGAGTGAAGTTTGAAAATTAATTATTTAAAATTCGTTGACCTTTTGAGGTCACAAGTAACGTTTTCGAATAGGTCTCGAAGCCACGAGTGCATAGGCGAAAGCCGTTTGCGAGTCCGAGTTATAACGGTATAGTTACGGACGTTTGAAGTTTTGAACTATAGATTGTGGGTTAAAGGTTAAGTGAGTTTAAAAAGGAGAAGGTTTCTGATAAAAAAGGGAAGAAGGAGGGGTCTGATTTTTTGACCCGTTTTGGGGCGTTTTCGACCCATTAAAACCACAAACTTGACCCGCTTGTATCTCCTTTATCCGATCTCCGTTTTGGGTGATCTTGGTGTCTATGGAAAGCTCTTGATGAGCCCTACAACTCTGTAATGTTAGATTTTCCATTTTCTTATCCATTTTTCCAGTTCGAGGCAGCAAAGTCCCGTGGGTTTTCCGGCGGTTTTGTCATTTTTCCGGCGATTCCGGCAACCATTTCCCTCAAGTGAGGTATGAAACTTCATCTACTCTTCATAATCTTCAAGTTGGTATGCTTGGTTCGTGCTTTCGTGTTCGTTTTAGAGTTGGGTTTTAGAACCCTAGAAACCCGGTTTCCCCGAAGAATTTGGATGATTTCCGGTTAGAATTTGTCGTTGGTCTAGTTGTGAATAATGTCTCCCTTGTTGAGCTCTAGTTACCACGTGAATTTGAGCCTCTTGGGTTAAGGTTGAAAATTTGGGTTTTCAAACCCTTCACCATGGCTACCATTGCATGTGGCGGTGCGTGGGACCGTCCAAAAGTGTTGTCTAAGTACCAAATACCTTATAGTGACCCTGTGAACCTATGTCTAGCTTGGTTTCCCGAAATTCAATTGTTGGTGTGATGTGGATAAATGTGAATGACTAATATGTGATATTGGTGATTACTTTGTTTTCATAACTACTATCC